GGTATATGTACAGTAGCATGTATGATTATGTAAGACTAGTCCAGACTTGGTACCTTGTCGATGAAGTACAGAGCCACGGTTCTCTGCAGTTTATGTACAGTAGCATGTATGATTATGTAAGACTTGGTACCTTGTCGATGAAGTACAGAGCCACAGCTCTCTGCAGTTTATGTACTGTGCAGTATGTATGATTATGTAAGACAAGTTCAGACTTGGTACCTTGTCGATGAAGTACAGAGCCACGGCCCCCCGCATGTACAGTATATGTACAGTAGCATGTATGATTATGTAAGACTAGTTCTGAGGTGGTACCTTGTCGATGAAGTACAGAGCCACGGCTCTCTGCCGTATCCTCATCTCCTTGGACTTCCACTCCTCTCGGTACTGCGCCCGGATCCGGTCCACGCACTTGTGCAGCTTCCGCGCTGTCTCATACTTCATCCAGTCCTTCTCACCCTGTAAACAAACAAACAAACAGTTAAATCGTAGCACCACTCCTGGCGGTACTTGAGCCTGGACGTGGCGTTGAGCATGACGTATTTGATGGAGCCCTGTGTAGTGTGTATAGTAAGTACTACCTGTGTAGTGTGTATAGTACATGTGTAGTGTGTATAGTGTATGTGTGTAGTGTGTGTACAGTACATGAGCATGACGTATTTGATGGAGCCCTGTGTAGTGTGTATAGTATATGTGTGTGTAGTGTGTATAGTATGTGTGTGTAGTGTGTATAGTATATGTGTGTAGTGTGTATATAGTGTATAGTATATGTACCTTGAGCCTAGAGGTTGCGTTAAGCATGACGTATTTGATGGAGCCCTGTGTAGTGTGTATAGTATATGTGTGTGTAGTGTGTATAGTGTATGTAAGTTGTGTAGTGTATATGTACCTTGAGCCTGGATGTTGCGTTGAGCATGACATATTTGATGGAGCCCTGTGTAGTGTGTATAGTACATGTGTAGTGTGCACAGTACATGTGTAGTGTGTACAGTACATGTGTAGTGTGTATAGTACCTGTGTGTGTAGTGTGTATAGTGTATGTAAGTGTGTAGTGTGTATGTACCTTGAGCCTGGATGTTGCGTTGAGCATGACGTATTTGATGGAGCCCTGTGTAGTGTGTATAGTATATGTGTGTGTAGTGTGTAGTGAGTATAGTATATGTGTGTGTAGTACATGTACCTTGAGCCTAGACGTGGCGTTGAGCATGACATATTTGATGGAGCCCTGGATGTTCTCGGACCAGCTGGCCAGCCACGTCACCGAGTTGTCGTGCCGAACCTCCTTCCACTTGTGTCCTGCCGGCGCCTCCGGGTACTCCGAGTCCCTGCAGGGGTACAGGTATCCATGGTAACGCACGTAACCATGGTAACCACATGTAACCATGGTAACCACAACACACGTAACCATGGTAACCACAACACAGAGTTGATACCGGGTAGTGACTTACTTGCTACAGTTGATACCGGGTAGTGACTTACTTGCTACAGATGATACTGGGTAGCGACTTACTTGCTACAGTTGACACCGGGTAGTGACTTACTTGCTACAGTTGATGATAACGTCCTCAGGCCTGACCCGTTTCTTCAGCATGCCCATTTTGGGGTGGTCCCCGCGGCCCCGGAACAGACCTGGCGGCTCGATCTTGAAGTTGCCGATGCGCTGCTTGTGGCCGTCGATGTTGCAGAAGCCGTACTCCTCCACAGTCGCCTCGTTCTTCTTCTTTATCTCCTGCAGGTCAGCAGAAGGCTCGAGTGTTAGGGACTTTTACTATACAGGGTCAGGGCATGGCAACCTTTAGTACAGGTCAGGGCACACATTCAATACAAACCTGTCTTAGCAACAACTCAACAAACATTTGCCTGAACACCATGGCAACAAACGCCACAGCAACTAATGCCATGGCAACAGACTCAACAGCAACTAATGCCATGGCAACAGACTCAACAGCAACTAATGCCATGGCAACAGACTCCACAGCAACTAATGCCATGGCAACAGACTCCACAGCAACTAATGCCATGGCAACAGTAACCATGGCAACTAATGCCATGGCAACAGGCTCCACAGCAACTAATGCCATGGCAACAAACTTCATAGAACCTGATCCAGGAACTCTGTAAACAGGAAACGAGCGAAACAGAACCCAACTCTGAACACAACAGTTTACCCGGAATCTCGCCCGCTCTCGGGACCGACTGGCGCTCTTCTGCAAGAGGAGTTAGAGCACAGCAGTTACACTCAGGCAGGCACGTTGCTTGGTATTTCTATATTGTAACAGATTTGGGCTACGGCACTGGTCAACTGTAGAATGTATATGAGATATCTGTGGTTCCTTTTCCTTTCCACAGATGAACATCACAGGTACCGTTTTCCCCCCCCTCTCACCTGTTTCTCCTCCTTGGACATCTGTTTCCTCTCCTCCGACTTCTGCTTGTAGTAAACGTCCATCTGCCGGAAGTCGCACTTGTCCAGGTTCGTGATGACCTTCCTCTCCTCGGGGGTCATGACCTTGCGCCAGTCGTGGAAGAAGTTCTTACGGAAGACGTCCTTGGTGGTGTAGTCGTGGTCCAGCATGCGCCCGAAGAACCCCGCAACCTCCTCCGTCTCCTCACTCAGCTTCATCACCTTGCCTGGGGGGAACAGAATATCGTCATGGCAACAGACTCACCATCGTCATGGTAACAAGACTCAGCTTCATCACCTTGCCTGTGGAGGGACCAGCACATCGTCATGGCAACAAGACTCACCATCGTCATGGTAACAAGATTCACTTAGCTTCATCACCTTGCCTGCGGAGGGAACTGCACATCGTCATGGTAACAGACTCACCGTCGTACAGGAACTGCACATCGTCATGGTAACAGACTCACCGTCGTACAGGAACTGCACATCGTCATGGTAACAGACTCACCGTCGTACAGGAACTGCACATCGTCATGGTAACAGACTCACCATCATCTTGGTAACAGACTTACCATCGTACAGGAACTGCACATCGTCCGGCAGTGGTTCGTACAGCGGAGCGAAGACGGGACCTTTGTGCTCCAGGAACTTCCACTTCACACCTTCCTCCCGAGGACCCTCCTCCCACCTGCAGGGAACAGGTCATGTGACTTACGGGAGCCAATCACAGGGTACCAGGTCATGTGACTTACAGGAACCAGTCACGGGGAAACAGGTCACGTGACTTTCAGGAGCCAATCACAGGGAACAGGGTCATGTGACTTACAGGAACCAATCACGGGAAACAGGTCATGTGACTTACAGGAACCAATCACAGGTAACCAGGTCATGTGACTTACGGGAACCAATCACAGGTCACCAGGTCACATGATTGCAATTTGCTCCAAATAAACACTAAGTTAGTTTCACCAGAAATGAGGCCAGTGGAAACAAGTATATTTATTTGTGAGATATTCTTTACATCTTCGTACAAAACTAGCCTTGACTGCTGAGCTCACCATTTCCAGACCTCTGGTTCCTCCTTCTTGGCTTTCTTCTTGCCCTGAGGAATAGACACAATTTCAGACCAAGACAGGCTAGCAAACGTCAGATATTGTCAAGGCAAACCGGTTTTTACATTTCGTGTACCACATCATCATCATCACCAAAATCACACAGCCAGTTTTAGTCACGTCTACAGATCATGGAAAACAGAAACTTGTGGCTTCAGCAACTTCAATAAAAACACTTTCTTACTTTCTCAGGCGTGGCCTTTTCCTCCTTCCCCTTCTTCTTCTTGGGTTTTGGCTTGGCCTGGCGGGAAAAATTACGGAGAACATTTAGAACCAGCTGTTTCTGTGCATTTGGAACAAGTTCTCCTTTTCAAAGGACCCAACAATGTAGCGCTAACTAAGGAATAGAATTGTTTTTGATCACAGGAATTCCAACTTTGAAGAGAAAGACAACTTATATCTAGAAACATCAGAAACATTGTGTTCCAAAAACAACATCACTGAAGGTGCATGGAATAGACAATGTACTTGCTGAAGAAGAAGATTGAGAAAAGCTGAGGACAAACCTTCCTGTACATGTCATACTTGAGGAACTGTAAACCCCCAAACTACACAGGACAGGTGCACAAACAGACAAACATACACAAGAACAAAGGAAAGCACAGTTACAGTCAGAGCAAATAAAAAGAAACAAGCAGAAAGGGGATCATCCTCCTCATAACTGAGGCTGAGGAAGCACACAAAAAAACATTACAGGAAAGAGTAAAAAGAAACAAGCAGGAAGCTTTCCCTACCAGTTGAGACAGAAGAGAACAAGCAGGAGACTTACTATGGGTTTGTCGTCATCATCATCACTCTCCGCCTTCCGTTTCCTAGCAACCGCCTCCGCAGGCTTCTCTTTCTTGATTTTCTTCTTCTCAGCCCTGGACAAGAAAAATGGGCATTTCAAATCCATGGCCAGACTTAGGTCCAGTACAGAACTCAGTCCATGGCCAGATTTAGATCTACTACTAAAACTAGAACTGCAACGGGTCTTCATGTGTGTGACCTGCAACAAGCCCTGCAGATTGAAGCCAGGCTGTGTTAGCTGCACACTGCCAGGCCAACATACATCAGTGAACTGATCGTCCACCAGGATGAAAAGAAATATGATGATGATGACTAAAACTGGTACAGAACAGGTTAGGTCACTCAGATCCCTTCTGGCTTGTTTCACTTCCCCACCCATCACACCATCTCTATGGAAGTACAGAGGTTGTGAGTGTTTCTGTTGTTTGTTTGTTTATCGTCTCAAACATACTGACCTGGCTGCGAGTGGTTCGTCATCGGAGTCACTCTCGTGCGCTCTCTTCTCACCCTGCGCTCGTACCGCCTGGGAACACAGGTCAGGGGTCAACTTAAAGAACAGGTCAGGGGTCAATTTTAACAGTAGGTCAGGGGTCAACCTCAGCTACAGGTAAGGGTCGATCTATTTCTGCTACTAACTTTTTACACTACTTTGTATTTCCCTTCCCTACACAACTTCAATGCGAATCTTTCCCTGGTAGCCTTACCCCCATACAGACCCATCAGAACCAAAAGCCCCATGCAGACCCCAGACCTATCAGTATTACCCAAAAGCCCCATGCAGACCCCAGACCTACCAGAGGGACGTCATCATCACTGTCCTGCGGCTCCCAATTCACCACCGGCTGGGAACTGCAGGAACAAACATAGCAGCTCAGTCTACGGGAATATCCATGTACCAAACAGGAACACAACAAACTTGGCAGCTCAGTCTAGTAACAAACAAGGCAGCTCAGTCTAGTACAGGAATAAAGATGTACCAGACAGGAACACAACAAACAAGGCCTCTCAATCTACAGGAATAACCTCGTACAAAACATCACTTAGATGACTAACTTTTTACTGAGATTAACCTATATAGCATTAACTTACTAATGTGAGCAGCAGAAGGGATTTAACCGCTACAAACACGCAGCTTACACTCTATATTTCTTCTTTATAAAGGAAACACTTCCACAAGACTCCGACTTACGCCTCTTTTTCCTTCTTGATGACCAGCTTGGTCGGCGAGGCTCCTTTCTCCGACAATCCTGGCTCCGTCTTCACCTTGACGTCTCCAGAAGACTTGGGTTTACTTGAAGACGAGCTGCCTTCCTTCTTGACTTTGTCCGACCTGTGCTTGTCGGAGGAGTGTTTGGAGGAGCCGTCCTTGTGTCGTTCCTTGTGTTTGTCTCCGCTGCTGGACTTGCCCTTCCCCTCTGAGCTATGCTTGTGTTTCTCTGTGCCATCCGAGCTATGCTTGTGCTTCTCAGCACCTTCGGAGCTGTGCTTGTGTTTCTCTGAGCTGTGGTGCCCGTCCTTGGGCTTGGAGGAGTGGTCCTTGGATGACCCACTGCTGGGCTTGTTTGGATCTTTAGGTTTGGAGCTGCTGTGCTCCTTGTGTTTGTGTCTGTTTGGGTCCTTACTCTTCTCCCCGCTGCTGCCGTGCTTGTGCCTGTTGGGGTCCTTGTGTTTGTCGCCTGAGGATGACTTGTGGTGATGCTTGTGTGAGGAGGATGAGGAGTGTTTGTGGGACACGTGGTTCGGAGTCCCGTTCAGATGGTTTTCGACCGTTTTTTTGCTCTTCCCTGAACAAATGGGAGAACCAACAACACCATTATATAATCAAGTTCAGCATTATGTCTATACAAAATGTTTGTACAACAGGGATATAGATGTAAGTTACTAGTTGTAAGATTTGACAACAGCCCTCTAGCAACTTTATATAAAACTGCAGCATTGGCATGTTCAACTTCAAGTGAGATTTTGACCATTTCACTGAACCACCTACTACATGTAAGTGCACGTGGTTTCTTCTTTTCCCCCTTTTTTTTTTGCTTCTGTGGACCATACATAACAAAGTGGTGCTAGTTGTTACCTGTGTACAGAGGTTTTGTTTTCGGTCAGTCTGGGCTGTTATGTGTTGCAATAGTTATTTCTACATGCTGGTCACATTGGGACACTGGCAGAAAGTTTGGGCAACGGTGTCAGCTTTATCCCAATTTCCTCAAACTTACAGACGGAGAAAAACTATTCTTCTTTTAACTTCCCAAAACCCACAAATTTTGGAAAAGGTGGGACATTACATCTTCCATGGTTTACAGAAGAGAAGTCAAGCCCTTCAGACATAGTTTTATACATAGCTATAGTTCTAGACAGCTACCTTTCATAATGTAGACTTTAGTTATTTTATACTCTGTTTCAATGTTCTTTTATGTTTTGTAATTTGCTATTAGCCTCTCGGCACAAATTTGCCATAAACTTTTCAATGAGCTCATACGATGTTATCAATTTTCTGGTATACCTGTGTCTGCTTCCTTATCATTCTGAATAATGAATAAAACAAAATCCCTGAATATTTTAGATAGGCATCAGATTGAGCTTTGTATTTCCAGTTTCATGGACCAAGGACGTTAGAAAAAAATAGAATATACAAATTATAGAGACCTCACATGGACAAAACTAGCAGCTCTGAGGATGTTTTGAAATGCTTTATCAACACACAGACAAGCCAAAAACAAAACTTTGTGTCCTCGTGGTGTGTCTTATACGTGGGTGAGTTCTAGGAGAAATTGTTAAACACAAATTGACTCATGCTATAATTCACACTGGGTAAGTACATGTACATGTAAAGTATAGCCTATAGGGTATTTCTTTACTCATGCCAGCACTACTGTATACCAGATCATGTGCTGTCTTTCTAACCAAGGAGCTTTCATCCCAAATGAAAGCTCCTTGTTCTTAAATCTATAAATTAGGCTGTTTACTAAGTAGTTAAAATTTAAATGTTGGTGTTCCCTCTTCATGAATTATTTATCCCAACTTCAGGCAGAGCAAAAGCCAACTTCAGAATGGAATCCCCACTTTGACCACAAAAATTCTTTTCCTCCCACATGCAAGAGTTTTTATTCTCTCTAGAATTTGATCCTGACTTTGCGTGGATGCGATTATAATGGGTTAGTTTTTCCATGGAGGTATTTGGTTATTGGAGCCCATAACTTCACATACTTTTAACATGTAACAAAATTAAGCCCTTTTCCCACAAAAAAAGTACCCCAACAAGACACATTACAGCAAAATCACTACATGTATTTCAACCCCAGTACTGATTCCTGGTACGTTATTCGGGTCCGTTAGCCCGGAGCGGAGGTACCGGGTCGGTCCGGCGGGACCCGTCGGGGCGGGGTGGCCCTGCGCCCGCCGACCGACATGGCGACTCCCCGGTACGGCAGCCAAACCCCGATCACACCCAGCCAACTCGGCAAAATACAACCGGAACGACTTTCTAAAACATTCTTATAACATAGGTGCATTGTAGACGTAAAGTTTGTTTGGCTTGGACGAATTGAATAAGACCAGATACAGCGGGAAGGCCGGAAACTAGGTAATTAAAATGGCCAGCAGCCCAGATTTTTCAAAGTGTGATTTTCGGGCCAGCGGCTAAGTCCCGACGCCATTTTCACTTCGCACGTAGGTACAAAATGCGGCCTAAAATCGCCCAGACGCGAGAAAAACCCCAGACTGGCGCAGATTAACCCAGCTCTGCGGTCCCACCACGCCCTTCCAGACAAAATACATTTTCATGTCGGCTTCATTTCGATTTTCCATTTTCATAGCTGGAAAGCGGCGCGGAGGCTGGAAAATTTCTAAGTGCCAAGATGGCTGCAGAAGCTAAGTCCCGCCACAAGGTCACACCAGCGGAGTGGCGGCCAGCAAGCTCAAAATCCGGCCCACTCTCTCACATTCTGCAGGCACAGTTCGGTCGGTAGTCCAACAAGTAGTTAATGGCAGAAATTTCAGGTGATTTGGACAACACATCGCACAGAAAACTGAAAATTTCTCCCCATTCGCGGCCCAGGAAAAATATTCTAAGTGCCATTTTGGCTCCAGAAACTAAGTCCACATCACAACAATAGAAAGCAACGCGCGAAGACGGAAAAATACTCACCTTCCGAGGGCTTCGGAACTCCCTGGGGCTGAAAAGTGGAAAGAATGGGGCTTGATGAGACTCACATTTTTCAGGAAATAAAAATTGGATGCAAGGCGTATTTTTGGTGAGGAAATGCCGGTTTTGCCGAGGCATGTGTGAGCGCGGCACTGAGCGAGACACGCCGGCCATGCCGGGGCAAGAGCCGCCAGCTTCACCGGCCAAATTTTACACACAGAAACGGGCCACAACCACGAAATTACACAGAATAAATGATAAAGGACACAGGATACGGAAATAATTCTTACATCAGGGCTGCCGATGCCGGAATCGCCGCTTTGGGGATCCATTTTGAGGTGATTTTTGCTCCACGATCTGAGACTAAACTTGTCTTTCTGTGGCGTCGGAAATGGCTAAGTGTTGATTTGACGCCAAAGCGCATGCGTTGGACTACGAGGCTGTGTTGTGGTTTTCAGCTGAATCAGACAACACGTCATCACAAGACGTCTGGCGGGCGTCGAAATTTTCTGTAAGAATAACTTTTTCGGTTTGTTTCAAAATTATGAATAATATTTTAACGACTTGTTTAGACAGACTTTCTATCTGGAAAGAACGGTTCTCAAGAAGGAGTCTTAACGTTATCTATTGCATGACTCACCAAAACGTCCCCATGCAATCATATAGGTTATCAACATATCAGTTGAAAGCAACTTCCTCATTTACCTTTTCTGGAAGGCAATTTCCTGTAGCTCTATACAATATTCCATATTGCTAGGTGTGAAATAGTGTCCTACATGCATTAGGTATACTGTCATACCCCATGCATAGTGTCAAAAATTCCTCTACCTATATACCCGAATACTGATTCATACCAAAAACTAAATGGCAATTTTCAAAGCAACTGACACACAAGACGTCATCTTTCGCACAACTAGTAAACCATCATCACCGTTTGGCGATATTTACTATTCCAAGTGTGAGGTTTTTTAGCTATTATAAACCCCACAGTGTAATGGAATGGTCCTGTTTTGACGTCACTTCAGGTGTACCGAGTGAGTGTACAGCTGGAATGCATTGACGTCACGTCCGCTAAACGTCACGTCCGGTTTGAAACAGGTTGCAGCTTGCAGCAAGACCTTTGTCGGCAGTTTCAAAGTGTTAAACGTGTGGTCAAGCGTGTATGAGGAAACCTGTCTATTACAGCTTAATGCATTTATCATGATAACGGGACCGTTAATAATGAAACCAAGGAGTTTGAAAAAATAAAAAATTCAACATCCTTGATATATTTATGTTTACCGAAGGAAAACATTGTTTTTGCTCCATTTCTTCTTCTATTCTAAACACTAACCTCTGACCTGGCCAATTGCCTCTTTTGTTGACGTCTGTAACCATAGTAACTGGTGTCGGGTTACATAATGTTGCAAAGTTCATAGTAGGCATTTAGACTCCTGTCGCCATATACATGTATGTGAATTGTTTGAGTAAGAATTAACAGAGCAGATCATATCCGAAGACCATATTACTTTTCTAGTTAATTTATTTATTTCTATCACTTTTCCAGATATCCAGCAGCAACATTCAATGGCTGAAGTAAAGTATGATTTACAGTTAAACTTTTAATAACAAAAGGAAAACAAGAAAGCTAACAGTGGGGTTGCTGATCTTTAATTATTAACTTGGAATTGTCCAGGGTAATTGGCTGGTTGCTCCATCTGAATTATGCCTATTGTACAGAGTCATCCGAACCAAACACACATGAGATGAACTGGACATGCAAGATTTTTATTCGATATTTTATTTCACATCATGTTTGGTATCTTATTTCAATGGTACATCTCTTCCTTCATTCCTCCATGTTTTTCCCTAACTAGCTTCCTATTAAACAAAAAAGTTTGTTAGTGCTGAGCATCACTCATTAGTCTGGCTGGCTGGATCTGGCTGTGACCGGCTTGAACCGGCTGTGGCTGGTTGGATGGAGAATCCTCCTTATTTTCCCCGACCTTCTGAAAACAGTACACGAGGTACAGACCTGGGGAGAAAGGAAGGTCATCATCAGATTACTTTATAACAGTTTATTCATAAAAAAGCAGTCTCACAGCCAGTAAAAAACATGCTGAATAACACTGAATTTTACAGTTGATTGTCTGGCACATAAAAAACAACATTATAATACATATACAAACACACAAAAAACATTACAAAAAGCCTCACATGGGCACTAAAGTAAAGACCAGAGCATCCTAAGAGTCTTACTGCTAAGACTTGTTGTACAGGCATATTGCCTTGTTTAAGAAAGAGTTTTTCAGTCTTTTCGTATGGGCTGCTGGTATGTACGCATGTATGTTCCCTACAGGAGGGCCTGCAAGGGGGGGGAGTGATTATGAATTATGCAAAAATTTCGCCGCCTATTACGAATTACGTTAAAGTCTCAAAGCTGATTACGACTTTACGATTTGTGGCTATTGTCCAATTACGAATTATTTTTGCGGAGACTGCCTACGAATTACGAAGTCTAAAACGGCCTGATTAAGCCTTACGAAAAAGGGCTTGCAGGCCCCCCTACAGGCTTGATCCTTGTGAAAATTGCCAAGAATGGAAGATGTGCCAAACCCAAGCAGCTTGACTTACTTGTAGCCTCCCACTCCGCCAAGGAGAGAGTTCCCTGTGGGAAAACAGGGCCAGAGGTCATCACTGCAGGTCATAGGTTGACACAGAAAGGCTCACATATCAGGTCATAGATGGTGTTAGGTCAGATATACCAGCCAAGGATGCATTTTGGCATTTTATCACTATCCCTTGTTAACTTGATACAGATCACTACAGTAGGCACCTTAGGGTGTGTAACAGTGGGGGATTTATAGGTACTACCAACTTTTGCGCTACAACTGATCCAGCCGATGTATCTAGACCTTTTAGCCGAATTGGTAGGAGCGTCGGGTTTGTAGCTGGTGCTCAGGAGGTCATGGGTTTGAACCCGGCCCGGGACCAGGGGTTTTTATGTTTGTATCCTTATGTTTCTACTCGCTCCTCCTGTTTCTTACATGTTCTTCTCTGCCCCCTCCCCCGCCCCTACTCACCACCCTGGGGTTCTCCGGTGTGCCCCTGTCGCCCCCCTCCCCCTTGCTCCTCAGCTCCTGCAGCCTGGCCCGGGCGTGAGCGTAGTCCTCAGGTTCGCTGCCTGCCAGCTCCTGGCCTTCGTGTGGCGGGTACGTCTGCAGGGATAACATATTTCTTCAAGTTACAGAGTTATCAACCAAGGATTGAGGTGTTCAAGAATTCATTGTTTCCTAGAACTATTGCAGAGTGAAACTCGCTGTCACCAAGTACAGAAAGGGCATTATCATTTGATAGCTTTGAACAACGTTTAGAGTTAGATGTTGAAGGGTTAGGTGTAACAGGTTGCTCGGTGTAATGTAGCTAGCTGCCGCTGTGCCGTGTGCCTGCAAAGCTCGTGTGTTACGCCGAAGGGCGGTTATACCGGCTATACAGATACAGAGGCTGGTGTGTTACGCCGAAGGGTGGTTATACCGGCTATACAGATACAGAAGCTGGTGTGTTACGCCGAAGGGCGGTTATACCGGCTGTACAGATACAGAGGCTGGTGTGTTACGCCGAAGGGTTGTTACACCGGCTATACAGATACAGAAGCTGGTGTGTTACGCCGAAGGGCGGTTATACCGGCTATACAGATACAGAAGCTGGTGTGTTACGCCGAAGGGTGGTTACACCGGCTATACAGATACAGAAACAGAAAGGATTTACCAATCTCCAAGCAGATCTTTCGGTGGCCGCAAAAGACTATCAAATCGGCCAATTACAACTGCTCCTTAAAATCATTGATACTGATAGATACATGACTATTTCCTTTTGGAGCATTTCAGGAAGCACAAAAGATTGATGAAGAAATAAAGTGCATTTTTGTGTAGAGCATGTAGAGGACGTAAGAAATGAGACAAAAATACTGCTAGTTCTAAGTTTGAATGTTTACTATTGGAGCATTTATGTAAAACATGGAGAACGTAAGAAATGAGACAAACCTCGAGAGCCTTCATCCTCTCCAGCAGAGCTCTGCCCTCCCCCTGCGAAACCTGCTGCTGGAAGAACTCGGAAAATGTCTGTCTGTAGACAAGTCTCAGGCCGTATTTCTCTGCCATCCTGTACAGTACAGGGTACACACAGGTTACACTCTCATTATACTCACACAGGTTACACAAACGTCTGTCTGTAGACAAGTCTCAGGCCGTACTTTTCTGCCATCCTGTACAAATAGAGGTTATACACACAGTTTACACACTCATTTCACACAGGTTACACATTATAAGTTACAACAGCCTCAGCAAGCCTTACTGTTCGAGCAGAGGAAAGTAGACGAGGAACTCGGGACAGTCCACCACTCCCTCCAGGTGGAAGTCGTACTGACAGCCGAACAGCGGAAAGTCGTCCTTCTGCCGGAACGTGATGCTGTAGATCGAGTTTCCGAACGACAGACCCTCCGCTGACTTCAGTCTCCTCCTGAGCAGGACAAGACAAGACGGTATTCAGCATCTTACATCCCATCTTCAACATCTCAAATATCATCTGCAACATCTTACATCCCATCTTCAACATCTTATATCCCTCATCAACATCTTCATTCTTGTCTTCCATATCTTACATCTAGTCTTCAGTATCTTACATTTTGCCTTAAAGATGTTGCCTATTACTCAAGCAGCATGTTGTTTGTTTTGTGTTACTCACACCAGCACATTGTTTGTTTGTTTGTTTTGTATTAGTCACACCAGCATGTTGTTTGTTTGCTTGTTTGTTTGTTACTCACACAAGCATGTTGTTTGTTTGTTTGTTTGTTACACCAGCATGTTATTTAGATTCAAGATTCAAGATATCTTTATTGAGCTATCGCAGTGAAAATATCACTGAATTGCAGTCAATTTACAATTTGTTTTAAAAACGCTCACAAAGACATATAATATTGCACAAAATTCTGAATCCTTTGCTTAAGAATACTTGTTTGCAGGAAAGTATATTACTGCTCGTAAGACTAAAATCTTTTAGTTACAGCATAAAAACGTTTTAAAAATGTACACACAATATTTGGAGTTATTCAGTCACTCATGGTTAAAAGTAAATAAATTCAATGTGTACAAGTTAAGAGTTGTTTGATTTCACTATGAACAGTATAAACGAAATTTACAAATGCCAGACATTATATATGGACAGTTGGGGACGCTTTTTTATTTGTTACACCAGCATGTTGTTTATTTGTTTGTTTGTTTGTTACACCAGCATGTTGTTTGTTTGCTTGTTTGTTTGTTACTCACACCAGCATGTTGTTTGTTTGTTTGTTTGTTACTCACACCAGCTCGTAGCCGTCGGGGGTGGTTCCAATGAAGTACCCTCCCGGCCGGAGTCTCTCACCGGCGTTCCGCAGCATCCGGTCGGCCTGGGCCTGGCTCTCGAACGAGTAGTGCAGCACGAACTGGCAGCTCACCAGGTCAAAGGTCGTGTCAGGGTCACGGTACCTCCTGCTCAGGTCCTCCTGCAGGGAGATCATACCCCAGGTCAAAGGTCATATCATAGTCTCAATATGGTCTCTTTAATTCCCTCTGTTGGGAGAATAAACTGGCTGGATGTAAAACAGATAAGTTGAATGTACAGTAACTACTGCACAGTAACTTCAGGAGACTACTAGTATATAAAGCTCTTTATAAATTTTATATTGGTAATTGACATCATAAATGTGTATATTTTGTTGTACATGATACACAATAAACCCCTATATTTGTACTTAATTGGGCTTGATTGTCTATCTCTTTAGTTAGTCAGATTCTCAACTCAAGTTGCAGGAGAAGGCTGCAAACTCCCCCCTCCCAGCCGCGCTACGCGCCCTCCAAAAAAATTGGAGCACCACTCCCAAAAAATTTTCTGGGGAGACCCCTGTAAAACCTGACCCGAAAACTTCCTTTTAACGCTAACTCCCCCTACACACCCACGGTTCTGCCAGACATACCTTGGCACAGTCGGCTGCGATAAACTCGGCGGTAAAGAGCCGAGGACCTCGTCCCTGCCGCCCTGCCATGCTGTGGTACCGCTCCTCACACTGCTGTACTGATGTCTCAGCCAGGTCTGGCAGTAACAACAGTAACACATTAGTAACTACAGGTCTGTCAGTAACAACAGTAACTGTGGTACCGCTCCTCACAGTGCTGTACTGACGTCTCAGCCAGGTCTGACAGTAACAACAGTAACATCAGTAACAACAGTAACATCAGTAACATCAGTAACAACAGTAATATCAGTAACACGTTACTAACTACAGGTCTGTCAGTAACAACAGTAACTGTGGTATCGCTCCTCACACTGCTGAACTGATGTCTCAGCCAGGTCTAACAGTAACAACAGTAACACATTACTAACTACAGGTCTGTCAGTAACAACAGTAACTGTGGTATCGCTCCTCACACTGCTGAACTGATGTCTCAGCCAGGTCTGACAGTAACAACAGTATCACATTACTAACTACAGGTCTGTCAGTAACAACAGTAACTGTGGTATCGCTCCTCACACTGCTGAACTGATGTCTCAGCCAGGTCTGTCAGTAACAACACTAACACATTACTAACTACAGGTCTGTCAGTAACAACAGTAACAGCAGTAACACATTACTAACTACAGGTCTGTCAGTAACAACAGTAACAACAGTAACATGAGTAACACGTTACTAACAACAGGTCTGTCAGTAACACAAGTAACAAGCTACTAACAGCCAGTAGGTCGGTCAGTAACATCAGTAACAACAGTAACAAGCTGTACTAACAACAAGTCTGCCAGTAACAACAGTAACATCAGTAACAAGTTACTAATAACCAACAGGTATGGCAGTAACAACAGTAACAAGTTACTAACAACAGATGCACACACCAGGTGATATTTACCTGCACACACCAGGTGATCGATGCCTCCCTTTTTCCACTTGAGCAGGTCTCCCCCCTTGCCCACGCCGAGGTCCAACACACACAGTCTGCCGGCAGGGCTGTCCGCGCGCAGGCGCCGCAACGTGTCAGCTGGGGGGAGATTCATTAATCAACGTGTCAGCTGGGGGGAGATTCATTAATCAACATGTCAGCTGGGGGGGATTCAATAATCAACGTGTCAGCTGGGGGGAGATTCATTAATCAACGTGTCAGCTGGGGGAGATTCATTAATTAACGTGTCAGCTGGGGGGAGATTCACAGTCAGTGGGGGGAGGGTCAACAGTCATTGGGGGAGGGTCATCAGTCAGTAGTGGGGGGATTCAACAGTCATTGGGGGGAGGGTTAACAGTCAGCAGCGGAAGGGAAACAGACCTACCGATGAGCATGCTCTTGATCCAGTTGTTGAAGTTACGGAGGTGGAAGATGCGGGACTGCGAGCGGACGGCCAGACCTTTCTCCTCCAGCTGGTTGTAGTGCTGCGCCACCTGCGATGTCAGCACGTGGGGGGATGCTGCTCCCCCCTCCGGCTTCAGCCGTTTGGTAGGGTCCAGTTCCTGTGGGCTCGGTCCAGCATCCTCTGCTTTTCTCTTCAGGTTCTCTTCTGCATCCTCCATCCTTTTCTCCTGGCTCGCTCCTCCTGTCACTGGACCAGCATCCTCCATCCTCCCCTCCCCTAATGGTACTGTTGGACCTGTGATGACAGGCGTACAAATGTTACAAATTAGGCTTATTTTAACCAGGTCTCCTATTTATTTCGCAGTGAAATCCCTTTGAAATAGATCAGTCTTCGGTAGGCAGAGAATAAGTATGAAAGCGATCATATGCACACACAAACACAAACACACACACTCACACACACAATTTAAACACATGCACACTCACACATACAGCCACACGCAAACACATACAAACAAACACACACACACACACTAACACACACACACACTAACACACACAGTGACACACATGGTGCAATAAATCAAATTTGTTGCAACAAACCTTCCGTATTTTCCGCCATTTTGTTGTGATAGAAAGTACTTCCAGGTGAGTCATTACATTCAGTATGGGGGGAGAGAAGGCATCATTTACTTTGCTAAAATCAACAAAATCATTCTGACTCATAAATTTCTTATAGTACTGCACTGAAAAGTACTTGTAAAATCATTTAATCTTTTAAGTGTTGAAACGAACTGATAAAGAAAGGTCCAACATGAATTTTGTGAACTTACATCCCCCCTCCTACATAATGGCCCGGTCTGAGGTCATGTTTGCAGAGAGAGTGTACAGGGTGGGGGAACCATGCCTGATGGCTGAGTGAGGTTAGAACGGACGTGTTTCAGGGCGGGTTTGTAGAGTTTACGGACGGTTGAGCAGCTCTACCGGGCGGGATGGCGGCTAGGGGGTCTCGGTACGGGCGCAGGCTGGTCTCCAGCTTCCTGACGGTCGGTCTGCAGACGGAAACGGGAGGGGCGAACAGCCGGACGGCACAGGGACAGGCACAAGGTCAGTACGGGACAGCATGGGGGAGGGGGGTACAGTACGGGAACAGCAGAACAGCACAGGGACAGGCACAAGGTCAGTACGCGCAGCGTACGTGCTGGCGGGGGGAGGGGGGTACAGTACGGGAACAGCAGAACAGCACAGGGACAGGCACAAGGGCAGTACGGGACAGCGTACGTGCTGACGGGTAGGGGGTATAGTACGGGAACAGCAGAAGGGCCCAGGAGCTGCTGTCGTTGTTGTCGCTGCTAGAGAAACTCCCCCCGGGCTCGTCTCCCTGTAGCGGTCGTCCGCTGCCCAGTACAGTACATGCTCTCCAGTAGAGGTTGTCAGAAAGCCAGGATATCAAGCCCCTCCCCACTACCAGGGGTTGGGATCACGTTTTCTCGATAGTTGTATGTTATGGTGTAGGCTGATGTTGATGATGGTATGGTGATTGTGTTGATGGTGTAGTTGGAATTTTGATGTTGATGATGTTACTGTAGACTGATAATGTTGATGGTGTAGTTTGATGCTGATGGTGTAGACTAATGTTGATGGTGTAGACTAATGTTGATGGTGTAGACTGATGGTGTTGATGGTGTAAGACTGATGCTGATGGTGCAGTTTGATGCTGATGGTGTTGACTGGTGATGTTGAATGATGTGTTTTGATACTGATGGTATAAGACTGATCTTGTTCCATCTGCTGTGTTGGCAGGTGTCCTGAGGAGTGTCCACGGCTGGCAGGAGGGGATACGAGAGATGGTGTCCCGGCCGAGGTCCTGGCTACAGCTGCGGAACTCACACGTTCCAGCCGGGTCCCAAAGGATGCCTTACTCAGGCACAGCAGGCCCTTACCCTGGCACGGCTACCCTGTTCCCTGGCACAACGAGCCTGTACGCTGGCACAGAGGGCCTTTACCCCAGCAGGGCAGGTCCCACAGTCAGACATCACATCCTAACTTCTCACACATTCAGAAAGGACCTCTTCCCCACACGTGGAGGTGACAGTGGCTGTGTCTCCTGTATCCACTGCAGTACTTTTCACAGTTCCGCTCACATCACCCAGAGGAGCGAGGAGAAACCAGGAACAGCAGGGCAGGACCAGGGGGCAGCTGAGGAGGAGGAGGAGGAGGAGGATTTGGTGGCGAGGTACCGGGACCTGACGTTGTTCCAGAGGTTCAAATACATGGTGAAGGACTATGGACATGTGCTGATCCCCGTGCACGTGGCCACCTCGCTGGTCTGGTTCGGCTGCTTCTACTACATGGCCATCAGGTGAGCTGAGCTCTGCACAGCCTGATGGGGACTTTTCTCTCTTTTGTAGCTATCATCCTTCATGTGTTGCTTCTATACTGATAAGAATGATATTCTGTGGGTTGTGAGCATGTGGAAATGGTAGTGCAGGGCTGGAAATATTGGGTGCATGTGCACCCAAAATTGGAGCTGTGCACCTAATTTTTTTCTGTGGGTGCACTTTTTGTAGGTTTACGTATGTAAAAATGTTAAATGTATACTACTGTAGTAATACAGCATATTGTTGACATCTAAGTGTCAGAAAAACAAGAAAATCCTTATCGTAGTATTTTTCTTTTATAAAGAAAAATAGTTTTTGCTGAATTTCTATATGGTGCACCCAACCAATTTTTGTGCACCCAGTTTTTTTAAGTTGGGTGCACCAGTGTACCTATTCCCAGAAATGAATTTCGAGCACTAGAGTGTAGTGTATTCAAGTACAAAATTCTGTCCCGTCTGCAGTGGTGTAGACCCAGTGCCCCTCCTGGAGAAGATCGGCCTGCCGCATTCCTGGGTGGAAACCATGAAGAAGTCTGGAGCCTCGGATGTGATGGTGGCTTATGCCTTTTACAAGGTACGTGTTTAACACATCAGGCAAATATTACTTAACAGTTTTCATGCCTTTTACAAGGTACATGTACAACACATCAGGCAAATATTACTTAACAGTTTTCATGCCTTTTACAAGGTACATGTACAACACATCAGGCAAATATTACTTAACAGTTTTCATGCCTTTTACAAGGTACATGTACAACACATCAGGCAAATATTACTTAACAGTTTTCATGCTTTTTACAAGGTACATGTACAACACTTCAGGCAAATATTACTGCACAGTTTTCATGCTTTTTATAAGGTACATGTACAACACTTCAGGTAAATATTACTTAACAGTTTTCATGCTTTTTACAAGGTATGACACTTCAGATAAATATTACTTAACAGTTTTCCTCTTTGCACATTGCGGGAATCTTGTTGGTTTACAGAAATTGTAAAAGCAGATACTACATGTAGTACTGTACTGGGTAGGAGAGGGAAATGTGGGGCACAGGAAAAACCTGTGAGCAGAATTTTCCAGTATTCCAAGTATTTTTTTTCTGTCTCTTTTAGATTGCAACTCCAGCCCGTTACACCGTGACCCTGGGCGGAACGACTTTCACGATACGCTACCTGCGCAAGAAAGGTGTCATGCAGAAGCCTCCCCCTTCCAAACACATGGAGAAGATGAAGGACTTTATCCAGGAGAAAAGGGACCAGCTGAAAAATAAGTAGACATTTCTGGCAGAGAACATCAAGGTTCCATCCATGACCAGCTGTCTTGTCTAGATATAAGGCCACAGCAAGTAAATTTTATGGATGACATTCTCCGACTCCAAATCTAATGCGAGCGGGAAAAAAACAACAAGGCGAGCCGAAAAAAAACAAGGTTCCTACATTTTAAACTTTTGACTCAATCATTGTAGAAATGGTTTTGATTCAGTAGGAACATTACATATACACAGCCAACATCACATATCACGGCATCAAAGTAAGAAACAAGACATTAAATCAGAGCCTTTTCTTGTCTCCTCTCTTCATAGTTATCTGCCATCCACGCTCCAGTATGGCAACAGGTATCTTTGCCTATCTTCGGCATGTTGACCACTGTCAAAAGGCAACAAAAATTCTTGTTTTTTTTTTTAAAATCGGGCAAAAATTAATGCTCGCGCGGATGTCATCCATAAAAATTACTTGCTGTGGCCTAAGTAGAAGTAGAGCAAATATGGAAGATAGCAGCACGGACACAGACTTCAAAACCTTTATTCTCAGCCTTGTTAAGAAACCATAAATATATAGATAAATACTTATAGAAAGCCAAAGACAAAAGATGACAGGCATACTGCGTGTGATTACATGATGATTGTGAAGAATGGATTATTGTATGTGACTAATGTACTTACATGCAAAGGCAGGCCCAGGTATCTCATGTGGACACAGAGAACGTGTGGAAAACCATGTGACATAGTTAGTGTTGATATGCCTGACGACATTGGGATCAAGGTAACCAACTGTTGTTCATGAATAAACTCTGATTTATTAAATACAACAAAGCACAAAGGCAGGAACAACACCTGAATGTTTTGTCTGTAACTAAGTGTAAGGCAGAAATCAGGCTGAGCCGTTATAATGAAGCATGGTTCATTCCATAAGGTTTCCCGCTCCAACGTTGGAGCGAGAAACCTTCTCTCCATGGCAAAAACTCTTTCGGCGGCAAAATCATCCCTCCGCGGCATAACTCACGTCGCTCATCGAAAAAATAATGCCACTGCCCAAAAAGTCTGCGAAGGAGGTTAGTACAGTAACAGTCTGTTTGAGAGTGGGGAGAGTAAATATGAAACAGCGATGCCAGGATTGCGCTATAGTGAGGACAGAGTTAGGGGTAGTGTATTGTGAAAGCATTGTCATGTTGAAATGGGAAAGAAGTGTGATGACTTTATGAACATTCTTGCTTGTATAATAAGAGACAGAGATGTGTACTTGGGCAACAGGTTCCATATTATATCTACCAGTGTGTAGCTGAGTGCATAGTCGCAAATGTGCAGATAAAGTACTTTCTGAATTGACTAGTCTGTGTGCTTTTACATTTATATTTTAACCACAGAACTATCGTTTTTCTGCATTTACGATGCTGCAATGCATTCTCTAGTTTGCAATAAGCAATGCTATATCAGCAAACTCATATTATAAATGGACAATAAAATATACTGTAGAGTTTTAGTTTGTGGGCTGATGACTGTTGAACAAACTGTGTCTACAGGAGGAAAGGTCAAGGTCAGATGTCGTCCCAATTCGTCAGTAGTGTGGATATTTCCTCCACTCTAGTCTAGATCTGTTTAATACTTCACTCAACTGTCTTGCTTCGAAAATCAGGGGAAAATGTAGAAACTGAAATAGAGAGATGACATCGAGGGAACTGTACTTTCTAGCGGACCAACTCCCTATGCATGTATCTGACTCTATTTGGCCAATTTGTACTCTTTCCAACCGCCTCCCAAAGCCTGGTAGAGGCTAGGCCCGCCTCCCAAAGCCTGGTAGAGGCTAGGCACGTACAGGGAAACAACAGTTCCAGCCGCCCCCCGAAGCCTGGTAGACGCTAGGCCCACACAGGGAAACAACAGTTCCAGCCGCCTCCCGAGGCCTGGTAGAGGCTAGCCCCACCTTCCGAAGCCTGGTAGAGGCTAGGCTCACATAGGGAAACAACAGTTTTAGCCGCCCCCGAAGCCTGGTAGAGGCTAGGCCCACATAGGGAAACAACAGTTTTAGCCGCCCCCCGAAGCCTGGTAGAGGCTAGGCACGCACAGGGAAACAACAGTCCAGCATGACGCAACACTTGTGTAGTTCACCTGAAGGAGTACGTGCAGAATCGCAGGGAGAACGGTCAGGTGATTTTCGCCTAGTCCATTCACATCCACAGGGGAGGGAGGTTCCTCAAAATATGCATACACCAACACTAATTCAGCTCAAGCTGTCCGAATCATAAATCTAATAGATTTTTATGACTATCAATACTCATAAAATTAAACGCCAATTTGAAATGTATGACTTAGGCATCTGTGATTGGAGCCAGTAAAATGTGTGGACCCCATATGGAAGTGAGCCGGCCCAGCATGACGTAGCAAATACGGCTGTGAGCTGGAGAGAGTTTTGCCATGTCACAGTGATTTTCTCTCCGTAATTTTTCGCTGCCTCCAGACGCCATTTCTGCTGCCATGCTGCGGCTGTTCGTGCAGGAAGGAAGGGCAGTGTTAGCGGAGGGAAGGGCGGCTCTGGGCGCGGTACAGGGCNAATATTACTTAACAGTTTTCATGCTTTTTACAAGGTACGTGTACAACACTTCAGGTAAATATTACCGCACAGTTTTCATGCTTTTTACAAGGTACATGTACAACACTTCAGGCAAATATTACCAACAGTTTTCATGCTTTTTACAAGGTACATGTACAACACTTCAGGCAAATATTACCGCACAGTTTTCATGCTTTTTATAAGGTACATGTACAACACTTCAGGCAAATATTACTTAACAGGTTTCATGCTTTTTACATGTACATGTACAACACTTCAGGCAAATATTACCGCACAGTTTTCATGCTTTTTACAAGGTACATGTACAACACATCAGGCAAATATTACTTAACAGTTTTCATGCTTTTTACAAGGTACGTGTACAACACTTCAGGCAAATATTACCACAAAGGTTTCATGCTTTTTACAAGGTACATGTACAACACTTCAGGCAAATATTACCACAAAGTTTTCATGCTTTTTACAAGGTACATGTACAACACATCAGGCAAATATTACTTAACACAGGTTTCATGCTTTTTACAAGGTACATGTACAACACTTCAGGCAAATATTACCAACAGTTTTCATGCTTTTTACAAGGTACATGTACAACACTTCAGGTAAATATTACTTAACAGGTTTCAGGCAAATATTACCGCACAGTTTTCATGCTTTTTATTAGGTACATGTACAACACTTCAGGTAAATATTACTTAACAGGTTTCATGCTTTTTACATGTACATGTACAACACTTCAGGCAAATATTACCGCACAGTTTTCATGCTTTTTACAAGGTACATGTACAACACTTCAGGCAAATATTACCACACAGTTTTCATGCTTTTTACAAGGTACATGTACAACACTTCAGGCAAATATTACCAACAGTTTTCATGCTTTTTACAAGGTACATGTACAACACTTCAGGCAAATATTACCAACAGTTTTCATGCTTTTTACAAGGTACGTGTACAACACTTCAGGTAAATATTACCGCACAGTTTTCATGCTTTTTACAAGGTACATGTACAACACTTCAGGCAAATATTACTTAACAGTTTTCATGCTTTTTACAAGGTACGTGTAC